GTGATGATAAATCCGTAATAAACCCGTGATGATTTTTTTTAGGTCTGATTTTCACTATTGCATAAATAGCGCTCTCTACTGCAAGGATCGTGCATCATACGAATGCTGTAATTGTTTGTTAAGTTCAGGTTTGATCTTATTTATTTAAAAAGCTTCTTTGAGTTTTAAATCAATTGAGTTGTTAGCAGAATCCAGAATTTCTAGTGTTTTAGTTCATACCTTTGATGTTTGGTGTCGCGTTGTAATTAGTACCCGCTTTTGTATTACATCATACTGTAAATATTTTATTCATCTACTTGTCTGTGATATAATTACTCACGTCCTGTCACTCATTGATTAAAGATGACATAAGCATGCCGAAACATGTCTCTCAAAAAAGTTGTGTATTTCTTATAAAATTTAAGTTACATTGTATGCTAGATGTAAACCGAATATGACAATGATTTTTTAATGTTCTTTTCCATTCATTTCATCAGGGATGGCTTGTTTGGTTTTTGTCTATTCCACTGCTTCCTTTCAGATTTGGTACCAGTATTGTTAGAGATCTTGTAGGATTTATTGGTAAGGTCTACAGCAGTTTTCTGGTTCATGGAACTGATCCTACTGTTAGATACTCTTTTTTTGACTTTGTCTTGTGTGTCACTCTATTGCTTCATTGCTTGACTATATAAATCTTCAAGAATCTTCACACACTTAATTTCTCTCTCAATCCATCCATACCTACATTATTGCATAAGTGTTTGAGGGTTAACCTACCCCTCCCATTTAAAATGGTTACCGTAATACTAACTTCAAAAGTGATCTATGACAATAATTACCAGAACTGGTCTTGATATGAACCCAATATTGTTGCTAATAGGAAGTTTAGAGAGATTTACTATAGATAGTTCCCTTTTATGATCAACTTTTCATTAATTTTTTTTACAAAAGTGCGCTGAATTGCAGTTTCTATATGTACAAGTTAGTATTTAATGTTGTGAACAAAGTGACTTTTGTTTTTAAATCCCTCTCCTCTCAGTGAGACTTGTATGGCCCAGAGCATTTGAAGGTATTTAGATTTTCCATTGATGTTTGTCAGTACTGCCAATTAAAATTTTAATTTTCAATTTACTGTCAAAAGATGTCAGGATTGCCTGTAGTTGATTTTGCTTTACTTTGCTAAATACAATCATTGTTGAAAGCTTGGCTCACCCTCTCAACTAATTGATGCAAAACTTAATCCAATATGACTTTGTCACCAGAATAATTATTTATTCATATAACATTTAAAAGAATTATGCACCAGATTGGTGGGGAATGGTGATGGATTGTTACTGAGCCGTGAAGCAGCAAGATGAATATACGCCACTTTCACTGACACTGGGGCAAAAACATGTTTTAGTTTATACCACACAGAAACCAAAATGTTTGTTTATTTGTGCCAGTGATCCAAAAAAATGGTTGGAAAATAAACTCTTGACTTGCAATTTTTTCTGAATTCATTTTGGTGTAAAGCAATCATACCAGAATATAATAGTCCCATGTATTTCATGTTCCCTTAGCCTTCTTTGGTGATATGACATCATAGTGGAATTGATAACTTGTATATTTTTGATATCCAAATTTTTTCTTTCTGTTCCAGCTGAAACTACCCCATTAGAGGATGTTCTTAGGTTCAAAACAGAATTTGAAGCAGAGTATGGAACAGTGCATCCAACATTTTATCAAGGAAGCTATAGTCAGGTACAAGAAAGCTTTAAAACATTTAAATGGTGTTAGTGTTTAACAACATTTTCTTGGTTAGGGGACCTCAGTCTGCAGCAGTTTGCCTTAATGAACAATTATTAAAAATATCCCTCATCATAACTTAAAAGACCCATTTGTACCACCCTGTGGGGGCACAATGATATTGTAAAGGCTCTAAACTTAACTTTCTTCAAACTTGTTATGGGGAAACTGAAAATGGTAAAATGCTTGCCAGAGGTATATATTGTTGCTAGCAACTGACAATTTCTGCAACAGTACATGACCTACTAAACTGCTTACAGCATCACTTTAATTTCATCAAGGTTGCCATGACAATGTGTACACAAACCAAAAATGTACAGGATGATTGTGCAAGTCCAATATTGCCATTACCAGAATTCACCCTACTAGCTTGGCAAACTTGATTGTGCATCTTTTGAAAGGGCAAGAGGGGGTTTATATATTGTTCAATTGATAGGAGTGTGGCTTATTTAAAGAAGGTGATAATTTCAGGGAAGGCACTTATCAAAGGTATTACAGTAACTGTTTTCACTAGAATATATGGCATTGTGACCTTGTTCAGGGATAAAATAATGCTGGACCTCTCTTTGGTCTCATGAGTATTCCTACACATAACCATCAGGACACTGTGCCATATAACCCACTATCTCTTACTGAAGTGTGTTTAATGTTCTACAGGCATTGAATGATGCAAAGAGAGAGTTACGCTTTCTACTAGTTTATCTGCATAGTTCAGAACATGAGGACACCAAAGAATTTTGTAGGTAGGTCTATATGTATCTGCATTTGCTCGATAGAGGATACAGGTCCTAATTTAATCTGCCAGTACATTTAGAATAGTTTTATTCATTTGGTCCAAACACATGTACAAAAACCATGTATCTTTGGTTGCATGTGTGTAAAGAGCCCATGAATGATGTTATGTGTACAGATGGATGTGACATTCCCACTGCCCAGAGTTTGTAGAAAAAATGCCTTATTTGTGAATACCATATTAATCTTATTAGTTCACATGTTTCTGTAAAGGTCAACTATGACAAATGATGGATTTAGGGAATATGTGAATGGAAACATGTTATTCTGGGGAGCAAATGTGAAATCTCAAGAAGGTTATAAAGGTATGTGATCATTGTTAAGTTTTTAGATGAAAGGGAGATAGACAAGTTACCATTAGGTAATAAACAGCAATTTAAGTGAAACACAGGTGTTTTCTTCCATATTATGCCTGAGTACCAAGGATGCTACCCTTGTAATTCGTTAGTCCTGAGTTCCCCCCCCCCCCTCTGTGACTAGCCCCTTTCTTTCCATCCCCCTTTCTGAGAGGATAATAGGCAGGGCCTATGGAAGGGTGTTATCAGGGTGTGTATGGTAAGTTTGAAGGAACAAGGCAAACCTTTACTGATAATAGGCAGGGCCTATGGAAGGGTGTTATCAGGGTGTGTATGGTAAGTTTGAAGGAACAAGGCAAACCTTTACTGATAATAGGCAGGGCCTATGGAAGGGTGTTATCAGGGTGTGTATGGTAAGTTTGAAGGAACAAGGCAAACCTTTACTGATAATAGGCAGGGCCTATGGAAGGGTGTTATCAGGGTGTGTATGGTAAGTTTGAAGGAACAAGGCAAACCTTTACTGATAATAGGCAGGGCCTATGGAAGGGTCTTATCAGGGTGTGTATGGTAGGTATGAAGGAACAAGGCAAACCTTTACTGATAATAGGCAGGGCCTATGGAAGGGTGTTATCAGGGTGTGTATGGTAAGTTTGAAGGAACAAGGCAAACCTTTACTGATAATAGGCAGGGCCTATGGAAGGGTGTTATCAGGGTGTGTATGGTAAGTTTGAAGGAACAAGGCAAACCTTTACTGATAATAGGCAGGGCCTATGGAAGGGTGTTATCAGGGTGTGTATGGTAAGTTTGAAGGAACAAGGCAAACCTTTACTGATAATAGGCAGGGCCTATGGAAGGGTCTTATCAGGGTGTGTATGGTAGGTATGAAGGAACAAGGCAAACCTTTACTGATAATAGGCAGGGCCTATGGAAGGGTGTTATCAGGGTGTGTATGGTAGGTATGAAGGAACAAGGCAAACCTTTACTGATAATAGGCAGGGCCTATGGAAGGGTGTTATCAGGATGTGTATGGTAAGTTTGAAGGAACAAGGCAAACCTTTACTGATAATAGGCGGGGCCTATGGAAGGGTGTTATCAGGGTGTGTATGGTAAGTTTGAAGGAACAAGGCAAACCTCTACTGATAATGTAAAGGGACAGTTTGTATCAATGCTCTGGCAGGAGTAATGTTTATAATGCCTCATGAAATGATGGCTGAATGTGTTTTGTTTTTTGTTTTCTTTTTGTGCTACAGTCTCACGTGCTCTTCGTGAAACCACATATCCTTTTCTGGCCCTAATTTGTCTCCGAGATAACAGAATGACGGTTGTTGGGCGAATGGAAGGTAAGTTGCCTCGTCGCCCTGCCAACCCTCATCACACCCCAGTGGTCTACTTATCACATAGATTTTAGGTTGCTGTGCGTCTGTATAGTTATAGATCACAGATGACTTCAAAATGTAGCCACCCTTTGACTTCCCTGATCTCCTTAGTATTTCTCCTCACTCTCTACCATACCGTCTTGTGATGTTACTTTGGAGAATTTGAATTGTATCAAATGATAATGCCCTTGTTGACATTTTCTTTTATTCTCCTCACTTGTCTGCTTGATATTGTATTGATATCGTAAGCAGAAATTCTGTCTTGGTCATTCGTGGGAGTTAGGGAGATAATAACAAAAGAGTGGCGTACCAGGCGCAGCCGATCACGAAGTTTTTTTCCTATTCTCGTGGTAAGGGAAGCTTTGTCATCACTAAGATAGGACAGATGTTTCCATCACGAGCACCTCACGTGCCACCTACTGGCTGTCTCGTGAAAAAAAAAATATGTGGGTTCTAATATTGCAACCCATGTTCTACACATCCAAAGATCGTGTAAATGGCATTATACCAAAGAAAACTATTATCTAGGCGATCAACATCTCCCTTACTTGACTAACACTGATGCGTGGAACTAAGAATCTATTTTTCTTCGCAGGGCTGATGAATGTTGATGGGTATGTTTCACTTCTTGCTCGATTGATAGAGGATAATGAACCAGCTTTGGTTGCAGCACGAGTTGACAGGTTTGTTGTTTACTGTATTTCACAGCTGACCATTTTTACAGGCGCTTCGGATTATCAGTGAAGACGAGGCAGTGTGTCGTCAAAACAAAATGTGCGCGTGAGGATGGGATGATTGACATGCGAGGATCGCTTGATTCTCGCACTGGAATTTGCGTGTTCGTTCATGCTTCCTCTCTCATTTCCTAGTTTTCACAAATGTTTATCAATTTAGTTTCGTTTCTTTCTTCACTTGTGGACTGCTAGGGGAAAAAAAACCGAGAAAGTACTAGCTACGTGTGACAAAGTGGAGCGTTGAGGTTTGTAAAGAAAAGCGAAGAGGTTTTCATTCGTTGGCTCAGAGTCCAGGCCGAATTCTGAGCATCCCGCACTATGAACTATAAAAAGCCAAGAGATTTTTGTTCGTTGGCTCAGAGTCCTGACCAAACTCAGAGTATCCCGCACTATGAACATTAGAGAAAACTTATAGTAATTCAGAATCAATTGTATTCCTGCCCCTCCATGGGATTCGCATTTATTAGTATGTTTTTATTAGTCCAATTGTTTTATTATGTACTTGTGGTGTGTCGTCAACAGACAAGAACGCACTCAAGCTCAACAGCTACGCGACGAGCAAGACGAAGCGTACTATGAATCCGTTAGAGCTGACCAGGAGAAAGTAAGGCAGCTTTGATTGAGGTTTTGATGTCTTTACAGTAGCAGGTGTTTTATGTCCATTCTCGTTTTTGAATGTCGAATTGTTTATTCGACTTGTGTGATTTTATTGCAATTGACTCGGATCAGGCTTATCCTTTTTTCAGCGCATTAGCGCAGAAAATGCGACAGTCGGCTGTCGCTCTTACGTTGCTACTTGCGCCTTCCGCTAGAAGAAGGAATGCCTGATCGCAGACTTTTTACGCGTAAGAGACGGTAGTTTATGCTCTTCTACTACATTCACGAACAGACTTTCACTTCTCCTCTGCTCTTCTCGGCCGTCGTGTGCAGAACAAAGGTAGTGATGTACTTAGACAGGTTTAACTGACATGATAGAAAAATTTTTATTTGAATGTTGTGGTTTCTGTTTGTGAAACTACGAGACTGATTGAGAAATCTGGCGTCCCTCACCTCACCCCAACCAAAACTGACCTAAATTATCTCGCTCACGGTACCCCGCATTTTCCTACGATTGCTAGGTGAGCTTACGTGAGTTCATAGGTCGTCTGGATTTCTTTGGTTTTGTTCAAATTTTCTGAAAAGACAAGCTCATCACTCTGCTCCTATGAAATGTATGTTAACAGGAGAGAAAAAAGCGAGAAGAGGAAGACAAAAAACGACAAGAAGAAGAAAATAAACGCAAGAAGGAAGAAGCACGACAAAACAGAGCAGAGGTTTGGAATTGTTTTCATTTTATTGAGGCTAGGACAAGTAGCCCATAATCCATTCAAAGCTGGGTTTTTGACCGGGAAACGCCACCGGTGTATGTGTTTTTCTTAATATTTCCGGACTTGTCTCCGTTTTTTCTCCCGTTTTCTGCAACAGGTCTTGACTTATTGCAGTGCAACATACCGGTTGAGAGAAATAAAGAACAATGAACTTGTGGTGTAATCGCGTGTTTAGCAGCCTAGCTCGTCCCCATTTAGCCTTACGGGAGAAGTATAATCTGAGCAGGAGAAGCGTGAATTAAGCGGGAGTCCCGTGAGGCATCTGTCTCAATGGGGCTTAAGTTTGGTGCTCACTTTCTCCCTGTGCTCCCACAATTTACCTGCTTTGCTTCCGCTTCCTTTGCGTGATTCCAAAAAAAGGAAGAGATTTCCACACATGCCATTGTTTTTTTCGCTCTTAAATCTTAAAGCGTTTTGAAACTTCTAGTATTATACTAGTCCTTGAGAAAATTTTGCCTGTAAAGTCCATAGCACGGGAGCGTGTTGATAGAAAACTGAGAGTTCCCGAAGAACCGGAAAGTTCCCACCCTGATGCTATCCGCGTGGTAATGAAACTGTCCAATGGTAAACGACTGGAGAGGAGGTTTTTGAAGTCGCATCCCTTGCAGGTAAGATGTGTATTAACAGCATTGTAGTCTGAAACTATACCTGCAGGGTTATATCTGGATAGCATTATCATAGCGGAACTACAAAAGTCAACATGAGTGTTGGCATGCTGTCGTGGATACTTTACGAATGGTAGGTGGGGTGGGGTGGGAGGTAAAGCCATAGTGGATTCGTACCCAATCCAAGTGGATAAAAAAAAATACTCTTAGGCACTTCGTGCCTCAGATTTGGATACTCCGTTTAGTGTTCTTACTGCATAAATACGGGCCTGTTGATTTACACAGAGGGGCAGCGGTATAGGCCAATCTACGCGAGGTGCACGGAAACTCGTAGTTACATCCCCCCTTGGAAAATGCTATCCATGCCTCTGTGAGTGGAACTCGCAGATTGCTTAACTAATTGTTGTTCATTTAACTCTCCACATTCTCCTCCTCATTTTTTAGGCGTTGTACGATTTTGTATTTTGTGATGAAGAGTCCCCGGCAGAATTCGTCTTGGTGTCAAATTTTCCACGTAAAGTGTATGCGCTCGACTCGTCAAGCGAAGATCAAACACTTGAAGATGCTGGCATCGAGACAAATGCAATGCTGTTTGTGCAAAATGTAGAAGATGAAAGTGATAGCGATTGAAAACTGTTGGTGAAAAAAAAATGTTGCCGCACGGGTTTGAAAGGCATTTTAACTACTTGCAGTGTGTTGGACACTTGAATATCTGGAACGCAAGGGGAGCGATTGATTTAAAAAAAGTTAAGAGAACGAGAATAAAAAAAGAAAAACAAACAACAATTATTTTTAAGAACCGGATAGAACGCCAAGCGGAAGAGGTTATTGACTACACAAGACACAAGACACAAGATCGGTACCACACGGTAATGCGCCCGGACTAAGGATGTTCCATTTACTAGGTCGCTTAAAGATTTCAAGGACAGGAGTATCCAACGAAAACAGTATGCCCCAGGGAATGGAATCCCACGGAACTGGAGTGATTGGTTCGTAAAGGCATTTCAATACAACTGTGTATTTCGTGTTCAGCGTGAGAGCCTTATACTTGATTTATTTGTGTTAACTTATTTTATATCTATTTGAACTGAACTGCATTATTTGGGGAATTTTATCACGAATAAAGCTAGCTTTTATGGTCTTAAATTCACATGAGTTTCGTTCGAAGCAAGTGGCTATTACACAGGTTTGACGATTTATTTTGGAATGAAACTCGTTGAATTTTTTTGTTTTTTTTGTTTCATTTTTTATTAGTTTATACACACTTAGTGATCTTGGCGTTTCAAGCAATCTGATTGGTTCGCTATCTCGGGCTAATCAACAATGTACACCTCCGAGCGAGTGGATAATGTGAAAAACAAAATGGCGGGCGTAAACTCGCGTTTCGCTAAAGTTTCAGAAGCAGAAATTGCCTTTAAATGGCTTCCTTTTAATTTTGTCGAGATCACTTCGTGTGTATATACTAAAACAATTATTCTTTTCAATCTCGGTGAATAGTGGCTTTCGGGAATATTTACCTCGCCGCTTCGCGGCTCGGTAAANCGATGGTATTTCACCTTCAACGGTGCGGAGTGCTCGGCCCCTGCTGCCATTGATGGCGTGGTGTACATGATCCATGGAGATGGAAGCAAGAAGGATTTACACCGTGTGCGGCAAATCGAAGGAGTGTGTGAGAAAGTTCCTCGGGGAATTGTGCGCGTGGGATTCTGGGTTGGCAACTGCAGGAGTTACGGAAACGCTGACGCTAACACGGGCTGGAACCCAGTATCCCGGATTTACGTGGAAGAATTACCACCCTCACAGGATTAAAACCTGCTAAACAGGACTGCCAAACTAAAAAGGATCTACAACTAAAGCTTTAAAAATGCGGAATCAAAACAGTAATTGTCCATTAGCAGCTACTTTCGAAAGTAAAACTGTTCATGAGATAAAAAAGTTTGGAAGAGCTAAAACTGAGTAAAACCAGATGCAAAAGAAAATTAAAAGGATTGAAATTAAAACATAACAAGGATTGACCGACATATATCTCAGAAAGATATGCTTATAACAGGTTTAGTCTTAATAACCACAACCTAAGGCGAAGACGAGCGGTTAAAATTGTAGTTTGTTCCTTTTTTAGCCACTGATCACGAGATTGCTCATCGGTGGAGTGGGAACCCATTTTCATGGGATCCCATACATCAACACCAAGGGAAGCCACAAAGGTTGCTAGTGAAACTACTGATTAATATATTTAATACTATACAGACAAACAGACGAGCATTTAAAATTGTAGTTTCTTTGAAATGTTTGACCAATTTGCGTCGATCCTTCAAAAGCTATTTTGTTCTCTGAAAACCTTGTGCATTAAGCTTTTTAACTTGTGTAATACCTAAAGTTCTACGAACCTTCCTTTTTCGCTCACTCTCTCGCTCGTCTTCATTTACCGACATCCTGGAACACGTTGCATGTTTCATCATGGTCTTAAAATAAGTGAGGAGAATTTGCTACCTTTCTATAATATCAACAAATGGATAAGTATTCTAGTCTTCTCGGATAAGGACGAATAAACCGTATGCCCCGTCTCCTGCAGGGTTAGGGGTAGGAGACGTTAATTTCCCACGCACGAGATTACTGTGTGGTGGATGTCCTCCCCTGTGGTGGGATGGGAGGGAAGGTGAGATCGTTACATGGACTGAAGCGGCTGCCAGAGGCGCCTGATAATGCTGACGTCCGATCTCAACCTTATCATTGTAACTAGACACGTTTGTTGTTTAGAGTGCCTAAGACTTTCTGACTCTCTGACTAGTCTCCAAATCTCAATCACCTTGGCTGCCCTCTTTAAATATTTCTGCTTCGAAATATGGCAAACATGAGTCAAAAAAAGAACTTGAGCCCTTATCGGAAACGTTTATTAACGATATTACACAAGTTTATCAATCTCTTACGGCGGACGACGTTGTGCAGAGATGTAATATGACCATTGAAACATAAAGCTATTATCAATTAAGCAAATTTGCTGTCCCTATTCCAAAATCCTAAACAAATTTAAAGAAGGGTTTCTCATTTGTAGCGAGTCCTTTTTTTTTCCCTTGAATTACTATATGAAATCCTTTTTCGCTAGGTCCTGTTGAAGGAAGAAAAGCGAACAGAAGCTTTAATTAGTCGGCGGTTTCCTTAATAAGGGCTAATTAAAGGGAAAGGAAATTAACTCCCGTTTAGAGGAGGAAAAGTTCCACTCATTGTAGCAAGACATGGATTTCATATTCATCAATTTTACTGTTTCTAGCTTGTGAGCAGGCTCTCGTTATTAGCGCAACAGAATGCACTCTTCTCCGCCCTCGGTAAGATTTGAGACGAGGCGAGGAGAGCTTTGTCGGTGGTCTGGCACTAATCAGTGCCAGACCCTTGCAGTCCTTTCCCGCGGGCGAAGAAACCCTAGTGCCGAAGCGCAAATAGTGAGGGCTAGCTTCCAGGCCGGACCATCCCTCGTTGATTCCAGAGATGATTACTCATGGGTACTCTAGTCTGGTGTTCAGTCTGACCTAACTTATCTCATAAGCATTTCAATAAATGATCGCCGATATCCTTCCTTCACCCTTCCTTAGTTCTTGCACCTTTTTCCAACCTACTTCTCTCGGGGCTGTGCGCTGGGCCGCGCTGCCTTTTCCTGCCTTCCGCGCGCTCTTACTCAAGACCCTCTTACGGGATTCAACATTTCTTTTGTAAATAATGATTTTTAATACGACAATCCCATCTATTGATTAGCAATAAGTTTAGACGCCTAAATAAGTCAATTAACATTCTTACTCTGACAGAACATATCACTTACTTTGGTGGGTTCGATTTCGTAAGTGGCGCGGAATCCTTTTTCTGATATGGTCACATCCGAAGTGAAGTAAAGGTTGATTTCACCACCCGTCTTTTCTTTAAAATGAATTACCACATCAGGCTGACGGTGTCGATATCCGCTGAGTAGTTTCACCATCCGTTTCCCCACCTCAATTTTCAAGCTATCGAAGCTGTGGGCAGAGAGGACAGATTGAAATAAAAAGTGCTTTTACATCTAACTGCGAAACTGTTATGTTTTATCGACCTACCGGACCACAGAAGTCTCTGTTTAGCTCCAATCCGTCTCGTCTCTTCGGTTGTTGAGATTGTGGGTAAAATATTCCACATAGCTACTGTTGTCAAAATGTATTTTTTGAAACAGGATCCAAATTTTGGGGACTAAATTCCGCATACCACCAGGAACAAGTCCGAGTTATCCTCGGGTTTTGAGAAAAAACATTCCTAAAAAAAACTTTGTTAAATAATCCCTACCCCACCAACGCAAACGACATGAACGCCAACTCACCCATGTTCTGTTTGAAAGCTGTCAAAATGGATTCTAAGTTCTTGGCCAGGTTTAATCGTTACAATCCAGAAACATTCAGTGTTGTCAGGGTACTTTCCTGGAAAGTTTGGCGACTCAAAGTGTCCCTTTTTTTCTATCAACTGGCCTCCACAGCCTGAACCTGGCAAATAAAGGAGATAACAGATAAAGCAAAAAGAGCCTCTTTCAAGAATATATGATAACCATGCAAATTTTTCTTTTCTCAATTTCATCGCTTGTTTGGGTTGAAAGTGTAACACTTAGGTCGTAACTGGTAAAAAAATCTACCTATTCATGTAGCAGCACTTAAAACATCTCTCAGCCAAGTAGTTTATGGGGAACGGGCCCTAAAATTATTATACCCACCAGCAGTGATTTTAAATTTGGCTTTAAATCCCTTGTAGGTTATGAAGGCATCAGAGTGAAAAGCGATGGTGACTTCTTTGTTATCGCCAAACACTATGGTTTGGTAATTGGCATCCTTGTGTCCATCGATTATGTACAGTTCTTTGTTCCCTTGTAGGATTTCCAAATAGTCAAAGCTGAAACAAAGAAAAAAGTAGAATAGTGGTTCTAATAAGACATCTCTCCGAAATGGTCGCAGAAAATTAATATTACATTACATGCATAGGAAAATTGTTGGTCAACCCAAATAGATATCTGCTTTGATGTAAAAATACAAATAATTCGTTAGCTACGTGATGTCTCGACCGGCGAAATGCATTTTGAATGTGAATTCTGTATCCCCATAGAAACATTAATAAAATTTTGAAGAGTTTTCAGATGATCACTTCTGCGATGAGGAACCCGGGGAAGACTTGAAATTTTCAATACTGCCGATTGAACAGTGAACTGTCTTGCGTTGGAAGTATTTTTTTTTCCCTGAGGAATTTCCCCGCAGAAACATTTGAATAAGGGATAAACTAAGTAAGGACATCTGGTTTTCTTTGTCTTTTCAAAGGGAAAGTGTCGATTCACATTCTTTTGATTTCGTGGTTATCATGCATTTTATCCCCGGATCTTTACAATTAGCCGATAGATTTCCACTCGTTTGAACCTCGTCGCATCACTTTACCATTCATCAAAGAATCCCCTCAATCAAAAACTAGAAAGGTGCAAAATGATAAAACCCTTCCATCACTCTCAGAACGAACAAAAGAGTATCTCTGCGATGGACAAAGTAATACTCCGCCTAACGACGTACGCATCGCCTTATACTCACTGCTCTTCTGTATCAAAAAGCTCATAAGTGATGCGCAGTTTGAAGCCCTTCCTAACATCTATCGTCCATTTACAGTGTGCGTGGTTTGGATAGTATTCCCCATCGATTACAGGTGAAGAGAAACCTCCTTGGTCTCCCAAAAGAACGCCACCACAACCTTGTAGAAAATGAGAAAAAACTTTTGAATGTGAATTCTGTATCCCCATAGAAACATTAATAAAATTTTGAAGAGTTTTCAGATGATCACTTCTGCGATGAGGAACCCGGCGAAGACTTGAAATTTTCAATACTGCCGATTGACTATACATAAAAAGAACCCAAATCTAAACCAGTTGTTCAGACGCAATTAGTAGTAATCTCAGTGGGGTTAAAAGTTTACTTTGTCTTTGATATTCTTTAAATAAAGCGTAGGTCAAAGCTTATGTTGTAAAAGGTTTTACGTTAGAGTAAGAAGAAACTGAAGGGAAAAATATAAACTTAACAATAAAACTGTATGCAAAGCTACAAAACTAAATAAAATTTTGTTGGATAACCCTCGGTTAGCTTAATCGCGCTTTGAACAACCCGGCCCCACAGCTCCATAAAAGTCGATGCGGTGGCTTACCAACCGTTTTCAACCTCTGCTCTACATATTTCAGGGTAATATCTGCAATTACTACGCTTTTGCATGAACTCGTTTGTGTACTATATCTCTAAAAGTGAAACACACTAAACAGGTTAATTACACGTATAACAACAATAGGAATTGATAACCCTAAAATGAATGATAGGGTTTGAACCAAGTGACCTTGTGGGACGAGATTACAATGAAAAGGGAAACAATACGACCCACGAAAGAAAAGGGGAAAAAGTAAGCTGGTGTCATGAAAACATTCAAAAAAATTAACTTAGGATTATGTAATGCATTTTTTTACTCTCTTAGGATATGTCTAGTGTGTGGTATTTGTATCTATCACGTAATCCGCATTCTTTACTTGTGTAATTAACCTTTATTCTCTATATTCAATAGTTTTCTTCCCCTTTTTCTCGCACCTTGCGTCGGTATATCATGAAGGATTTGGGCACGGTTACAACAAGTGAGGTGAAGGTTTGAGAGTTGCGAGCGACGAGCGTGGAAAAATTTGAGGGAACGGAGACTCGGCACAATATCAGTTCTGACAAATTCATTCAGAAAAATCGTTCCACTTCACGGTAGAAAATCATTTGCCGGGGAACGGGTGTGCAAAGAATCTACCAGACTGTGAGCTAAAGGAAGAAGAGATAGTAACTGATTCAACAACAAGTCTGAGCGAGTCAAGTTACGAGAAGTAAAAAGTTGAAAACGGCAAAGTTTTCAGAAGACGAAGCAAAGTTGAGATGAAAGAAACGAGCAAAGTTGTGAACTGGTGAGACGGGAACCTAGTTGGAGAAACGGGAGTCGGGAGTTTGGTTTGGCAGGGCACCGTTTGTTGGTGGAGCGTGGTGAGTTGTGAACAAGACAAGAACACGGACGCGGGCGTAAGGTGAAACCTAACCAAACTGAACTGAAAAAAACCCTTCTTTTTTATCTTAATAATACTCTTGTAAATATAGTTAGCGCATTCTAGTTTTAAATTATTACGTTCTTGTAAATTCTTGTAAAGTAATTTAGGTAAATAATTCAGCAATTTAGTTTTATCGCATTATTGTCATTAAGGTAAATAATTTAATTTTTTTTTGTCGTTTGTAATTGTGAATTACCATATTGTCTTACTTACTTAGAGTAATAAATATTTCTAGGCCTACGTTTAGTTGTGTTGTGGCGTGTCTTCTCGGGCTTGTTTATGTTTTGTGTTTTGTGTATGTTGGAGGGCGCCCACCTTTGTGGCGCCTATTCGTCACAGCTGGAGAAAACAAGTTGTTAAGTTATTTGAAACACGAAAAGAGTGAATCGATTGAAGCCACTGAAAGAAAACCATATCACTAGAAAAACTGATGCAGAACTACAAACATTGACTTAATTAGTACATGCTTATTAATACCTGGTTCCACCATGGAGGGTTTTGTCGTGGCTGCTGTCCCCGTGGTGCCTTCCTCAGTAGCCCCCACCTCGGTGGCACCTTCTCCGCTGATCTCCCCCTGAATGGTACTTTCTTCGATTACTCCTGCCTCCGTGGTGCCTTCTCCGCCAGCTGCCGCCTCAGTAACGATTTCATCCGTAGTCTCCGCCTCCGTAGCTCCTTCTCTTCTAGCCACCATTCTGGTTTCTTCTTCAGTGACCACTGCATTCGTTGCACCTTCTCCACTAGCTGCTTGGTCTGTAACACCCTCAGCAACCACTGCCTCCGTGGCGCCTTCTTCGCTGGCTGTCGCCTCCGTAACGACTTCCTCGGTAGTCTTCGCCTCTGTAGCGCCTTCTCCACTAGCCACAGGTTCCGTCGTGCCTTCTTCGATAGCCTCTACCTCGGTGGTACTTTCCCCACTGATCTCCTCCTCCATAACACTTTCTTCACTTACCCCAACCTCCGTGACGCCTTCTCCACTAGCTGTCGCCTCCGTTTCGAATTCATCGGTAGTCTTCATCACCTCTGTAGTGCCTTCTCCACTAACTGCTTGCTCTGCAAAACTTTCAGTGCCCTTTACTTCTGTGGCGCCTTCTCCGCTAGCTGCTGTAGTGACTTCCTCGGTAGTCTTCGCCTCTGTAACGCCTTCTCCACTAGCCACAGGCTCCGTTGTACCTTCTTTAGTGGCCCCTACCTCTGTAGCGCCTTTTCCACTAGCCACAGGTTCCATTGTAACTTCATCAATGGCCCCTTCCTCTGTAGCGCCTTCTCCACTAGCTGCCGGCTCTGTAACGACTTCCTCAGTAGTATCTACCTCTGTAGTGCCTTCTCCTCTAGCTGCTTGCTCTGTAACGCCTTCAGTGGCCTCTACTTCCGGGGCTCCCTCTCCGCTAGCTGCTGTAACGGCTTCCTCGGTAGTCTTCGCCTCTGTAACGCCTTCTCCACTAGCCATAGGCTCCGTTGTACCTTCTTCAGTGGCCCCTACCTCTGTGGTGCCTTCTCCACTAGCCGCAGGTTCCGTTGTGCCTTCTTCGGTAGCCCCAACCTCGGTGGCACTTTCTCCACTGATCTCCTC